TTAAAGATTTTATTTATTTATTTGAGAGAGAGAATGAGAGACAGAGAGCATGAGAGGGAGGAAGGTCAGAGGGAGAAGCAGATTCCCTGCCGAGCAGGGAGCCCGATGCGGGACTCGATCCCGGGACTCCGGGATCATGACCTGAGCCGAAGGCAGTCGCTTAACCAACTGAGCCACCGAGGCGCCCCCTGGGAAGGCCTTCTATTGACATCAGCCAAACCAGCTTCTCTGAAACACCTGCCCACCGGCTCAACCCTCTCAGCTACTCCAACACCTCCAAGGACCTGTTTTCCACAATGTCACCTGTCAGGTATCTAAAGGGGAATGCTGTCTGGACAAAGAACCCACTGAGAGCAAGGACGGCTTTCCTCCCTGCAATTCTGGGAGGCAGACATCATTACTCCATCTGAAAGATGAGGAAACAGGATTATGGGGATGATAGGGCTTTTGCCAAGAGCCACTCAGCAGAGCTGGGTGTCAAAACACAGTCCAACCACAACCTTCAGGCTTGTTCTCTGATACCACACTACCTCCCCAAGACGATCCTCTGGAATTCTCCCTTTTTTCAGAGTAAATGGTGATTGGGGGGGACCTGCTACCTTTTTTTTCTTTTTTTGAATAAACTCAGAGTAAGTAATCCCATGTTGCTGATGCCAGAAACAGATCCCGGAGGAGCCAGGTAAATGTGTGGGCTGACCCATTTCTGAATTCTTAAATGTTCTCAGTTAAAACGTATTTGTCTGACTCGTTGAGAAAATGTTAAGTCACACGAGATGTCCTCTGTCCTCAGTGAAATTCTAATTGGTCCATAAAAAATTAATAAATTGGGTTTTACCAAAATTAACAACTTCTGTGCCTCAAAAGACACCATTAAAAAGGGAGGGGGGGCCTGGGTGGCCCAGTTGGTTAAGCGTCTGTCTTCACCTTAGGTCATGATCCCGGGGTCCTAGGGGATCGAGCCCCGCGTTGGGCTCCTTGATTGGTGGGGAGTCTGCTTCTCCCTCTGTCTGTGCTGCTCCCCCACCTCGTGCTCTCTCTCTCTTGCTTGCTTTCTCTCTCAAATAAATAAAATCTTAAAAAAAATAAATTTTCAAAATAGCGAGACTGAGAAAATATTTGCAAATCACGTATCTGATAACGGACCTGTACCCAGAATAAATTTTAAAACCTCCTACAACTCGATAATATTAAAAAAAAAAAATCAAGCAATCCAATCATAAAATGGGCAAAAGATCTGAACAGACATTTCTCCAAAGATATACAAATAGCCAATAAGCACATAAACAGATGTTCCACATCATTAACCACCAGAGAAATACAGATCAAAACCCCAATGAGACATCACCTCACACCCACTGGGATGGCTATCACCGAAAACCAGAAAATAACAGGTGTCTGCAAGAACCACAGGAACTAGAACCCTCATACACCACTCGTGGGAATGTAAAATGGTGGAGCTCTTCTGGAAAAAGGTCTAGCGGTTCCTCAGAAGATGAACCACAGAGTTAAACATACGAGCCAGCGATGCCATCCCTAGATATATGCCGAAGAGAATTCAAAACGTGTGTTCACGTAAAAACTTCAGAGCTGGCTGATTTGTCCAAAGGCTCCCAGTTCCTTCCATAGTGTGGCACATACGGCGCATCTGCTCTCATCATCTGGGGTGATGGGACTTAAAGCAAAGATCCGAAAGGTCCGGGGAGCCCTTGCAAGTCCCTCCTGTGGCTCACCCCATGGACTGTGGGATGGCCTGGACACCATGTTTGGAACCCCTGAGTCAGGGTAAAAGAAGGCCCCAAAGGAGAGTCTTCATAAGGCTCTGGGCATTCAAACAATTCTACTACTAGCATATCTACCAAATCCTGGTTGTAAATACGGGGTAGAGCAGCAGGAGAAATCTAACCCTGCTCCCTTGCAGAGCCTACTCCATTACCTTACCATTAAGTCTCATAACCTTTAATACCTGTTTCTATTTTTATTAATAAGTGTGAAAATATCTAACTCAGGGCCAGGTACAGATCAGGTGTAATAAATATTTTCTGAATTGCATCGAAATCTTAATTAATCAGGTGCCCCGTCTGCCCCCCCACCCCGGTTTCTTTGAAGTTGCAGAAAAACACTCAGCTGCCTGCTTCCTGTTCTTCCAAGTCATCCTTGGCATCCCTGATGTGGTCCACCACGGGAGAGACTCCTTGCATCCCCTGAGGTGCGCATCTTAGAGAGCTGAGGCTTACCCAGGCCTTAGGGCCCAGTCTATGATATAGCAAGTTACTCGGGCCTATGTTGTGGTTCCTTGGACTTGTCTGTTCCCCCTAGATCCTGCATCAAGGTGCACTCATGGGCAAGGATACTGATTCCTCTGCTTCCCCTGTACCCAAAGCAAGGTCACTGGATACACAATGGGCTCTCTGCAAAACTATCTGCTGAGTACCCCGCTTTGAATGAAAATACCTCTCCATGCCATCTCCGATAAGCTCCTCTCCATCTTCTTCCTCTTCATCCAGGGGTCCCTCTGTACCTAGAAGCCCCTCAGACTCATCCTCAAAGGGGGGAAGATCACGGCCAGGGCTGGAGGTCAGGGCATCTGTGCGACGGGAGCTTCGCCCAGGGCTGGAGGTGAGAGGATCACTTCGCAGCCGCCGGGCTGGGCTGGATGCCACGGTGAAGGACTCAGATGATTCCTGCAGGAGAGGACCGAGAAGGTGAGGGCTGACTTAGCATCCTAAAGGGGGTCCTCTCCACCTGTGACCCTGTTCCCCCCCATTCCACTCCAAACCCCTCCAGCCTCAAGACTTTGCATCTCATGTTCCCTCTGCCTGGAATGCTCTCCTGTGAGCTCTCTGAGCCAATGGCTTCTCAACACACAGGAACGAGCTCAAATATCACATCCTCAAATACTCCAGGCACTGACATTTCCCTGTGTTTTCTCCATGACAAGTCACTAAGGATACCTCATTCGTTTATGTACCGGTTTCTCTACTCTTCCCACATTCCTCTCCTGTGAGCATGGCTTCCCACCCACAATATGCAAGACACTGAGGCAGGAGACAGAACATGAGTGACCAAAACATAGCGATCTGGAATTTACAGATTGGTGGAGAGAACAGACAATAAATAAGACAAAGAGACAAAAAAAACACTACAATGATATGTGCACGAAGATGCGGGGCCTTATCTGTCTTGTGTACTCCCGGCGCCAGGCATAGAGAGGGCGCCCCACAAGCAGGTGCGGAGTAAAGTAAATGATGGTGGTCGGGTAGGCCACTAAGCTCGGGGTAGGGAATTCGAGCTCCCAGCTTGGTGCGGGAGAGGAGGCATCCCCAGGGGGACTGGGGCGGCGTGGGGCCCGCTGGCTTTGCAGACCCCGCAAGGAAGGAGTAAAGGGGAGAAATCAGCTCCAAACCAGAGCCCGGGGACCCAACCCCACCTGGAGGCCCGATCCGGCCGCGGCGGAGCGGGGCGAGGGCCTGAAGACTCGAAGTGCGCGGCCCCTCGCCCCAGGTCCCGGAGCGCGCCCGCACCGCCCGCGCCCCCGGCCCACGCTGACATGCTGGCTCGCCGGGACCCCCCGCCGGCGCCCCACGCCCGCGCCTCCCTCCCGCACGGCAGACGCGCAGGCCGCCGGGGAACACCCGCGCCCTCACCGCCATCACAGCTCCACACTCCCCGCCGCCACTCCAGCAACTAGTTTTCGCGCGAAAACCGGCTCACGTGACCCTCCCGAGCCCGGGAAGCGTCTGAAGGAACACTGCGTCATGACGTAGGCCCCATCTGCGTATCCGGGGGGCGGGCCAAAGAAGGAGGCCACGCCCACGCCTCTGAGGCGCCCCGCCTGCCGGCCTGGCGAGCACCCGGGCGCAGGGCGGCTTTGACCTCCAGCAAAGGGGTGGGAGCTGGAGCTGCGGGTGGGGGCAGTGGGGACCAGGCCTACCTGCCGCCTGCGTGACCTCGCTCGCCCTGTGGCTGTTTTACAGATGAGGCAACTGAGGCCTGTTTTCTGAGGTCTCGTGAGCAGAAGTTCTCTTTCAACTACTCCAAAAGCTCTCAGGTTGAATACTTAGAGCACCCAGACAGCTCCAGGATTGTAGAAGGCCACAATTTGATGTTTTAGTAGGAGTTATTTTCACCGAGGAAAGCAAAGATGCGGAGGCGTTCAAGATAGAAAGAACGTCATTTGTAAAGATGTAGAGGGCATGGCACAGCGGGGATCTCTAAGCAATTCTGTAGTTTTGGTTAAACAGCTTGTGATGCCCAGGAAGGGGGAATCCCTCAGGCTGCTCCTGGGTGGTGGTGGATTGAACCAAGCTGGAGGCTGTTGCTGCTGTTCTTTCTCCAATTATACAAGCACCTCAGGCTAGGGCAGGTCCCTTGGTGAGCAGGGCAGGACTGGAGGTCGGTCAGCCCTCAGTAGTTTTGTGCAGCAAACAAGCATCTCTGGATGGAACCCCGTGTAGGTGTAGGAGGGATCATGAGGACTGGAAATCTCCAAGAGACATTTAGGAGGTAGAATCTACTGGCGTTGGGTATTGAGGACAGCAGAAGGGAAGGACCCAGGAAGACACCGGGATTCTGGCTTGGGAGACTAGGTGGATGATGGCACCACCTCTGAGATGGGGAGTGCAGGAGGGAAAGAGGAGAAGTTTGTTTCCGGCTGTGTTGAACGTGGGCCCTGAGTGGAGATATCCAGGAGGCCATTTAATGTTCAGGTCTTGAGAGAGAGTTCGGGCTGTGGCTGTAGATTATCTTGAGAGTGGTTGCACCGTCCAGCGAGTGAGTGCAGTGAGAAGAGAAGCCCAAGCCTCAGACCTGGGAAACCTGAGCACATAGAAGGCACCAACAGAGGACTCTGGACAGGAGATGGGATACTGGGAGTTGCTGAGGAGAAGCCAGAGAAGAGATGGTGGGTGGGATTGTATTAGTCATCTATTGCTGCATAGCAGATTATCCTGGAATCCAGCAGGATTTCCCACGAGGGCTTGCCATAAATTTTACACAGCATCTTTACCCACTGCATATGGCTCTAATATGACAGGGTCCACGGTTCCTGTGGCCTAGGGGACAGCCCCTTTCTGCTGTGAGCCTCACTCAAAGCTGGAAGCTTTTATGTTGCCCAGAGATGTATGGGTCAGAGCAGAATCCTCAGGTGTTGAATATACTGCCCCAGAACCAAAAGAGTAGGTTCTGGTATTGTGCTTCCTTCCCTGCAATGGGGTGTGCAAGATGCAATCATTTGTCCTTTGGAAGCAATGTCCTGGTGTGTCCCAGACCGCTAGACTCCACTGAGGTGGCGAGCACCCACACCTTCACAGGGGTTATCCTCCACCTTCTGGAGCACCTATGTCTCACCAAGGTCTTCATTTACTTGTTACTTCTCATTCAGCCAGCCAGATTAGTAGGATGTCATTGATATAGTAAACCAATGGACCATAAGATGACAAAGGTGGGAGAGGGACCACTGGCCAGGGGCGAGACCATAAATGTGAGTGGCTGTCTTTCCCTGTGAATGTCAACAGTTCCTCATACAAATGGTCAGATCTCAGGCCAGCGGATGGGTACCTGAGGCCATGCCGACCCATGCCGGCAAGGACGCCAGCCCGGAAGCTGCAACTGGGGCTACTCCTTGGTTGAGTCTGCAGCAGTCCACTACCATTCTCTGTATTGTTTTAAGGTCAGATTGATGAATTCATTAGGGATATGATGAGGTCCACCCCCAACTCCATATGCTTTAGATCTTCATGGGTAGCACTAATCTCTGCATTTCCCCTGCTAGGTGATGTTGTTTTTTTACCTACTATCTTGGCTGAGGTGGGTGGGTGGGGACAAGTTTCAGGGGCTTTCACTTGACCTTCACCTCTGGGAACACTCTCCTCGTACAGACCAAGGAACCCACGTGGCATTCTGCCAGCCCATCCCAGAGGTCTAGTCAGCCTTGCTGGCTGCTCCTTTGGCTTCGATGGTTATCCAATTGCACCGACTTTTCTTCTGACAGCTGAGCACTGTCGTGTTGTTTCTGTTATTTGCAGATTTCCCTTTTTTCTTTTTTTGCTTTCAAGGAGCCCAGCTCTGCAACAGCCATGGCCCAGAGAGCATGACCACCCCCAAGCCTGGTGTAGAGCAAGGAACAGCACTTAGGAGTGCTGTTTGTTTTGCTTTGTTTGTCAAACTATCATTTCTTGAACTTTGCTGACACCACATCTGTCCTGTGAGTAGGGGATACTGCAGCGAATAAGACCGTGATTCTGCCTTGAAGGGGAGGGGATGAAATAGATACCCTCAGTTATTCCACAAATGAAGTCCTGCAGAAACCTACACATGAGGCCCCAAACTCAGAGTATAGAATGCAGAATTGTCCATTGCAATAGTAATAGCAAATTCCCCGCCCTGGAAAGTCTGTACTGTCTCAAAACACACACACAGACACACACAATTAAGATGGAGGGTAGTCTTTTGGCCTGGTCACAGATACTCCATTTCTTCTTCCTGGAACATGGTAGGAGGGACTGTTTCCTGCACCCTGGAGGTTAGGAGTGGCCTAGGACTTGTTTTTGCCAATTAAATGTGAGTAGTGCTTCCTGGCAACTCTAGAAGTGACCTTGACACCCCATAGCCCATTCAGGAAGGCAGACATCAGCGTGGAGCACAGCTCCTCCCGGCTGATACAGAAACTGTGCACGCTGAGCTGACCACGGTCCAGGCTGGGAAAGTCCCAGACAAACCAAATCCCAAATGGTCATGAGCTGGTGACTTCCTTCTCCTGTTTTAGAAGATCGGGGCCAATCTCATTCCAGCCCGACTGTGAAGCAGCTGTGGTATCACGGGGTGTGTGTCTTGGGGTTACTGTGATAAGTGGGTGTCTACAATTTGCACCAGGCACCAAGTCAGCCTCAGGATGTTGCAGGGTATGTGACAAACATGGTTTTGTCCTCATGACACTAACAATTCTAGTGGAGGATGGCTGATGAACTAGGAAGCAAGTAAATGAATATAATCATGTAAGAAAGATGGTGCTTGGAAGGAAATAAAGGGGCATTATGTGACAGAGACTGCACAGTTACTTTAGCTAGGATGGCAAGAAGGAGGTCATGTGACAAGGAGCCAGCCAGACGGGACAGATGCAAGAGAGTGGGAGGCAGGAACAAGCTTTGGTATATTCAAGTCAGAGAAACAGAAAGCACTGTGGCTGGAGCACGCTGAATGAAGAGGGGATGGGTGGGAGAGGAGGACTCAGACGCGGGAGGGCCCTGCAGGGCCAGCGTAAGGAGAGCCCGCAGTGAACACAGCCGTAGATGTCAGAAACGCAAGGATGGTGCAACCACGGAAGGCTTCCCAGAGGAAGTTGCCTGAAGAACCGTCGAAGTTAGAGATGAGAGGAGGGTTGGTTCAAACCCCCCGCGTCTAGTCTTTGCCACTTCCTAGTTGTGTGGCTTTGGGCAAGTTATTTAACGTCTCTAAGCCGCAGGTTCCTCCTCTGAAAAGGCGACTAATAATAACCACCCTGCAAGGTTGTTGTGAAAATTAGTGCCTGAAACCCGGATGCCAGTGCGCTTTGATGGTGGACGTGGAGGCAGCGTGGCGTGCGGTGGAAACGCGTTGTTCCGGGGGAGGGGTTGTCCCTACCCTTCCTTCCTCAGCCAGGTGACCAAAGGTCACCCGGCCCGACTGCCGCTGCGGGGCGCCCAAGGCGGCGGGCACGCGAGGGGGCGGTCCGCGGAGGCTCCTCCCTGGACCGTCGGGCCGCGGTCGGGCCCGGTAGGAGGAGCGCAGGCTGGAGCGAGAGGGTCCGTTGACAGCTGCTGACAGCTGGCAGGCGCGGGGGCCAAGAGGCGACAGTGTCCTCAGCTCTCCGGTCCGCGATCCTGGCCGCCTTCAGGCTAAGGTACGCAGCAGCCTCCCTACCCCGAAGCTGCTTCCCTCCCCCGCAGTGCCCGCTTCCTGTCTCTTTAAGAGGTCAGCGGGTCGCCCCGCCTCTTAGGGATCTGATTGGCTTCTTCCGCGGCTTGCGCCCTCTTTTTGGTGTAGCTCCATTTCTATAGGCTACTGGGGCCTGGGGGCGAGCCTGAGTGCTATAAGTAGGGGCTGTGGCTGTTTTCGCAGTTTTGGCCGAACGAAAAGGACGCGCCTGCCTTCTGGTCGCCGCTGCCGGGAAAGGCTGCACGCCGTCCTGGGGGCCGGTGGGCCCGGCGCGCTGACCGCGTTTTCCCTTTCCCGCCGTCCCCCGATTCCTGCGGAGCCGGCTGCCGGCGGCTCTTGCGCGACGCTCCCTGGCCCCGCCGCCCGCCCCGGGCGCTGGAGGCTGGAGGCCGGAGTCCCGGGGCCTGTGCCGGGTCGGCGGCACACTCTGCGGTGGCGGATGAGCGGCCCGGGCGGCGGGGCCTGAGCACGGCCCGGGGCCCTCAGGTAAGAAGGGGACCTTATCCCGCCACACCTGGAAGGGGAGCCCCGTCGCCGCGCGTCCTGAAGCCCTACCACGGGGCTCTCTCTCTGCCGCGGCTGGGACCACCGCTCCAGGGACGCCCCCTGGCCTGCGCTGCACCTACAGCCCCTCCCCGAAAGGGAGCTCCCAGAGCCTGGGTGCATCTAGTGACTTCCCGAGACACCTGCGGGAGAGCTGGCATCCCCACAGCTGGACCGGGGCCCACCTGTCGCTGCCCCTTCCTCCGGGAGTGATCCCTTCCCGCTCAGGGCACAGCCTCAGAGGACCCCTTGGGGAAGTTTCAGAGGGCCAAGGGGCCCCTGGGTGAGGACTCAAAGGGAGAGGCGACGGGTAATT